GGGAAATCGCCTTGCATTCGGAGATGTTAAATTGGATGTCGTTCTCAACAGACCATTTGTGAGCTGCATTTAGTGTTTCTTGGAGTTCCAGCGAACCCCCCAATTTCTGTGACTGTCTTCCAGATTTTGACGTCGTCTGCAAACAATAATGTTTTTGGTCCTAAGACATTCGGTTGGTCGTTTATGAACAAGAGNCGAGATACGGCGATAGGGGCGGAGAGTGAATTAGAGACTCGAACCTACATAGTCCGTTGTTGGAGAAACGCAGCAATCCAATCAAGCGCGAGGCCTCTGACACCAAAATTGTACAGCTTACGGAGCGGTATTTCGTGGTTCACCCAATCGAACGCTTTGGAGCAGTCCAGGTAAACCACATCAACTGAATCGCCTTTGTCTACTGCCTTTGTCCATTCATCGCAGGCCAGGAGCAGATTGGTAGTTCATGATCTCTTTTGACGGAATCCATGCTGTGCTGGGGAAAGTAGGTCGTATTTCTCTAAGTGTTCTATCAAAAAATCCGCCACGATGGATTCCATGACTTTGGATAGAACGGGTAGGAATGTTACCGTCGGTAGTTGGCAGGATCACTGCGACGGCCGCCTTTGTAAATTGGAGAAATTATGCCCTGTTTCCACGAATGAGGCAGCACGGTTGCGTCAAACATCCTTCGGAACAGACAAGCTAGCGGCTCAGATATGTAATCCGCTAATGCAGTAAGCGGTTGGGGATGTAGGTTGTCTGCACCTGGAGCCGAATACTTACGTAGACTCAGGAGCTTTGATTTCACTCTGTCGGCATCAAACGTGAGGTTAGTTAGTGGTGGATCTGGAAGAAAGAGTATCCGATGAGGCAGTGGCAGTCTCGCGTTGTTAGGTGTGGCAAAGACTTGGGCATATTGGTTTGGCATCTCAGTTGCTTCCTGGGTGTTGCTGGCGACCTTTCCAAGAAAGCTGAGTGCGGGTATCCCATACTTTACTTTCCTCGTCATATCGACATGTTTGTATAGTAGCGACGGGTTGGAAATGAACTTCCGTGAGAGCGTTTCTTGGTACCTCGGCTTATTCTCCTGCACCAAATGGGTACAGTGGTTTCACAGTTGTCGATATTTATTCCAGGTGCTGTCAGTTGGTAATCGGTTGTATTCTCGCCAAGATCGATTTCGCAGAGCCATCCATTTCTTAGTGCGGCTACGAATCGGCGAGTTTTGGATCCCTGATTTTCTAACAACCTTAGTAACTGAGGCGATAAGGTTTGTAAGTCTGTGTGTAAATGCATGCCAGGTGACCGCGGGATCA